GAAAAGTTGTTTAGGGTAAAAATAAATTCTTTATTTTTCGTTTCAAATATCGGCTTTTTCAATTCAGTTCCTTCCATTTTTCGTTACTTTCATCTTCGATATATTTTTCCTATTCCAAAGCTAACTATAATATTATAATTACTGTTACGGCTTACGGCCACAACAGGTTGAAAGACCGTTTCTCTTACGATCAACGAAGTTAAGCAACGTCAAACCTGCAGACGTGACCGCTTGGAAATACCAGACGCTGTAAGCTTGGATGTGCGGATGGTGTAATGGATAATGGTTCAGAATTGTAACTCGGAGACCCGAGTTCTAATTTCCGTTGGTTTCGTTATATTCACTTACACGCAAATACACTTAGGAAAGGTATTAATCCACCTCTTCTCCCACCAGCTATGGGTTAATTAGTTTAGACTTTTATCAGATGATTATTATTATCTCCCTACACCGAAATTCTTACAATCTAAAAATAATTTCGTAATTTAGTTTTAAATAAAATGAAAAGGGTTGATAAACAGTAGAAAACGGATCAGTGTCACTGTGGCTAAGGTATTAGAAGAATTCTATATATATATATATGTAAGCAAATATATGGATATAAATCCGACAGTATGAAAGAAAAATACAGAAAAAACAAAAATCTGAATATGCAATTATGTAGTATTAATGTTAAAAATAAAGTCGACGTCGGACGTTTCTGTGTCTATTTAAATCTTCATGGACATTTTCATTTAAACATAATTAATTAGAACTTATAAAAATTTAACACAAAAAGAAAATGTTAATTATGTTGAAGATGGTCTTTAAATAGACCGAAACGTCCGACGTCGACTTTATATTAACATTAATACAGCATAATTGCATATTCAGATTTTGTTTTTTCTGTATTTTTCGTTCTATATATATATATATATATATATATATATATATATATATATATAATTTGTGGATAAACTGTCCGATGTTTATGTTTTGTTAAAATACTTTCGGTTTTCGCAGTCATTATCAAGAACCAATGTGATGCCTGTGTGGCACCCAGAATTCCTTTGTCTACATTCTGTGTATTCTCTATAAAGCTGTAAGTTTGAAAAAGTCAAGCGTGATGTCATGTGTAAGTGTTATTGGGAATGTGACCACGCAATAATATATATATATATATATATATATATATATATATATATATATATATATATATATATTCAGGTATAATGAGAACAGTTGGATTATGATTCCACTGTATGTAACATTTAATTTAAAAGAAGTCTCAATACATAGTATATTAGAGCTAAGTATTATTTATTTTAGGATATTTAAACATGTTAAAAATCGCTACACATAGCATAAATGTGTCTCTTCGGACGATGTTAAGGTACTGGCGAGTGAAAGATTAATTTCATTTCAAAAAGGAGATTGCAAAAAATAGACCTATGAGTTTTGCCGTGATTAAACAATCGAATGCGACATACGCTAAATTATAAATTCATATATATATATATATATATATATATATATATAAATGTAAGAGAACGTAAAGAATAAAATTCAAACGTTCATATCTTCAATTTAAAAAAAAAGGCTCAATACCAGAGTAGAGCAGTAAAGTAGTAACTTGCATGTTCTAATGTAACAATATATATATATATATATATATATATATATATATATATATATATATATATATATTAGTAATCTAAGTATAAGTAGTATAAGAAATTTTATAAAGTGCCAGCCTTCCTGACGATCCGCTTAGGTGAAACCTTGGTAGGTCTGTCTGGCTCTCTAGGTTTAACTATATATATATATATATATATATATATATATATATATATATAATTATTTCTTATAAAAAAAAAATTTATAACATAAATATGTTATAAAATCACTACAATAATAGCCATTTTGTTTCAACACCTCTGGTGTCTTATCAAGTGATGATGTTGAATATTGAGCACTCTTTTAAGAATAGTAATTGTTGGTTATTGGAATTCATTCCATATACACCAATTATATACTTGTATATGTACATACATATATATATATCATAGTTCCTGTTTTTCGAACAACAATAGAGGTTTGTCGTAATCACAAAATGTTGAAAAAATGCATATATATATATATATATATATATATATATATATATATATATATATATATACTCTACAGATCAAAATTTTGAAGAAAATCCCAGAATTAACAAGGGATGAACTTGACAGAAGAAGAATGAAACCTTTCCTTCCCCAAAATGAAAAAAACTCTTAGAGTAACTGTAAAAAAAGAATAGAATCAATTTTCAAATTGAGAAACTTTTGCAACGAATGCCGAAGTAATCAAAGCTAAAGGAGGATATTTTGACGAGAGCAACATTTAATAATAAAATGTGTTTTTTGTTTTTTGTCATAATAAAATCGTGCCTGGCTTTGATTTAGCATAATAATTTTCTTTTATTTAAAGTACAAAACAACTATTTCTTGGGTCAATTTACCAGGTGTGGCCTCAA